CCCATGGCTTCACTAAGAGACACTGTCCACCAGTCATTGGACCTGTGTCCCCAGATCATTCCCTGTAAGTGAATAATAGTTAACAGCTAGCTAACAATGCTGTGTATTTCAAAATGTATAGTATGAATAGTGGCAGTGCTGACTATTGATTTAAATCTACATCCTTACTTTCATCCTTCTTACCATATTAAGATATATATACTAGGCATCTAATTTCTTTTTTTTTCTATCACTGAAAATGTCATGTAACATACTTATTACTTTGCAGTATTTGTAATTATTCAGATTTAAGTAATTATTACAATATAACACTGTCATGTTAGGTAATATTTAAAAAATACTAAATGGTAAGGAGAGGAGGATTTTTGGGAATCTGATTCTTGGTGTCACAGTTCAATTCAAACTTGTATGTAGTATGATTCTATAATCAGTATGTATATAAGGTGTGTGTGTGTGTGTGTGTGTATATAAGTATTTATGTGGGTGCTACTGAGGAGAACAGAATTGCACAGTTGATTGGAGAGAATAACAGACTCCTGTAGCTTTTTCAACAAATTAATCACTGTGCAGGATCGTTAATAACAACAGCAAAGCAAAGGAAGGCCCTGGGAGTGTGGGTGAGATGCTCCCTTGCCATTTTGTCTTCAGTGGGTTTTGAAATAAAGGACTTGCCAATTTGTCTTCTTACTTTGAATACCCTTAGTTAATTTTGACAAAGATGAAGCCTTTGTTACGTACAGTACATAAAAGGCAAAGTTTCAGATTTAGTAAAATATCCAAGAACGGAAGGATTTTCATATTATTTTATCAATATTCATATTGATAATCTGTCTTCATTATCTTGTATTGAACTGACTAAAGTTTATATCTACAGGTGAGTAACAAAATGCTGAATAAATGGGTGAAGACATATCTATCCTGACGGGAGTGGTCTCTTTCCAGGATGAAAGTGTCCCCATCCAGGGCACCAGGGGTCACTGAATGATTTGATTAGTATGAAAATGGTGTGAAGCATATGCTATGACCTTTGCAGTGACTAGATCTCAACTTGGTTGAACACCTATGGGAGATTTTGGACTGACCTTTAGACAGCGCTCTGCACCACCATCTCCAAAACACCAAATGAGGGAATATATTTCAGAATGGTGTTCTTTCCTCCAGTAGAGTTCAGAGACTTGTAGAATCAATGCAAAGGTGTTCTGGAGGAACATGGTGGCCAACATTTACTAAAATATTTCATGTTGGGTTTTCCTTTAATTTGTTATTGTACCCTTCTCTGTGTGCACCAGTGCTATTCAAAAATGTGCCCTTTGTTATGCAATAGGAGGGACAGAGAGTTAGTGGTGGTTTGTGTAATGAGTGGTGATTTCGCTCTGGCTTACTCATGAAGGCATACACTAAAACCACCAAGCCATCTCCTCCAGATGGAGGTTCATGTGTTGAGAGCAGTGACTCAATCTATGTTCACAGGTTGTTAGCTGCTTTAAAGATGGGTGAGACATCAGTTTTAATCAAGCATTTGAAAATGCATTGCCTACATGTAAGAGCAGAGACTTACTTTGTTTTTGCAGGAAGACCATCGGCTCACCATAGCCAGCCAGTGCTAGCGTAATGTTACTGCAAGGGTTAAGACTAATCCAGGCAGTGTTGCTTACTAAAGCTGTTAGAGCCATTGACTCAATAGGGAAGTATTAGTGAAAAATGTATATTTTGGTGTATGTAATTTTCTAAGCACAGGTAGTTTTATAGTTTTATTTTAAATTGCATATAAGGGCTTCTAATTGGTCAAAAACAAGCTGTCTTGCTTGTTAATAATTTAGTTGATGCTAAGAAGCCTAGAGAGGACAATTGTCTTTGTTCCTGTCGTGCTGATACTACTGTTTGTGTGTGTGTTTGAAGAAGTTTTTTTTCTTGCACTATGGAATTTTTTGTTGCACTGTATGCTTGGCCTCTATACATTAAATGGGCAAAGACATGGAGCCACATTAAGAAAGCTAATGGCTCTGGAGTTGTTTCATCTGATAACAGCTGTTACCTTTCAATGAGGGATACTTGTCATATTATTCTAAGCTAAAGAGAACCTTGCAAATTGACACAGTAGATGTGTTGCCCTGCTGTGGCACAACAGCTACAATGTAGTAACTGTGCAAATAGCATTACAGTATTATCCAAATTTTTTTAGTCCTCTCTTCCAAACATTTAATCTTGTCCATAATACAGTAAATACAGTTCATAGAATGGAGAGAACCATCTTCTTTGTACAAAGATTACAAATGTATTTATTTTTAATGATTGGCTAGATATAGGGAAAATGCTTATTTAACAGCAGGCAAGAAGAAAATGTGAAAACTGAATGAAGTGATATGATACTTAATACAGTAACATTAGCAGTTGTACTGTCAATCTTGAGCCATCAAGGCTCAAGTAGGATTTTCTAAGATGTGGCCCCAGAAAAAGTCTACTCAGATTTCTCAACACCCAGATATCCCTCACCAGAGGTCACGATGACTAGAGCAGGAGTTCCCTTTTTGTGAGTCCCATATTGAGGTCTTAAAACGTATTGCTTCAGCTTTTAAAAGTGATCAAAAATGCATGTTTATCTCACACTGATGACTTTGTACTGAGCGCTGGATAAGGATGATGTCAACTTGAGCTGCTTAGCTTTTACATTAGGTTTCTGATGTACAAAAATGGGATGCTTGTCATTTAGAAGTGAAAGACACTTTTGGTCATCTTTGTTTGAAGAAGAAGAACCTCAACTAGAGGCCTACTGTATGTTCATACTGTATCTGGGAACCCGACTGGGGGAGAGGGCTGCAGAAGACCTTTTTGCTCCTAAAGTATAGATGCTGACTCCTGTTGCTTTCTTCTGCCATCATCTTTGTTCGCACAGTGTTAAAAGGTCACATGAAAAATGTATGAATATGGCCAGAGGATCTCGGTAATCACGAGGAAGTGACTGAGGACACAGAGTCTTGCCCTGTCAAAGAAAAGGAAAGATCTCTATAGGCTAGCTAAGGCCAGCTTCCACAGAAATCCCCTATTCTCTTTTAAAAGGTTAACTGGAATGCTTCTCAGGCCATTGTGGTTTTCCATTTAATCATATATCTCACATGGTATCTCCAAGAAATTACTTTAACTTACCACATGGTGAGTGTGTGTTGTTTCTCTACATTAAATGTGTGACACTGTAAACATAAAATATGGAAAATGGTCAGTATTTCCCTTAAGTTGAAGAGGGGACTTTACTAACCATCCCCATTCAGTAGCAGCTGTGGCCTAAAGGTCTGAGAAAGTTAAAGCACTACTTGCCGCTTCCTCATTACTTTAGTCGCGGCACAGATTAAGGTATCTTTGAGCACAGCTCTTAACCCCAAACTGCTCCAGTGGAGCTCAGACTGTGAATGAAACAGCCAGGTAATTTTCAGGTGTGAATGTGTTGCTAGCTCTGACTGTGGTTCAGTGGGTAGAGCAGTCATCTCCCAAACAGAGGGTTCGTCGGTTCGAATCTCGATGCCTGCAGTCCACATGTCGAAGTGTCCTTGGGCAAGATACTGAACCCTCAAATTGCCCCCGATGGCACCCCAGATGGCTGCCTCGGTTCTGTACCAGAAACAAATTCCTTGTGTGTAACATACTTGGTCAAATAAAGGTGATTATTGTGATTATTATTAATTTTCTATTAGGAAAAAAGCAGCATTAATTTTCTCCTGAAACTCCATTTAGAGTATGTCACACAGAACACAATGACATTACGGCCAAACTCATATCTGTGTTTTTCTGTGCATTTCATAGCGGTAAAATACATTAACTTGCATAAAAGGTTAAAGGAGAAAAAGTAAATAAAATAGAATAATAATGATAATAAAAACCTAAACATGAAGTATCTGTAGAAACATAAGGTGCAGAGGACTTACTTTTTCTTTGAAGAACTCCTGAAGTAGACTTATTTTATGCACGTAGTTATTATTCATAAGTTTATCACACTGTCATCTATATCAATACATAGAAAAGATTTAGAGAATGTGCACTTATGGATATTCAATTTAACCCAATAAAATATGTAAATTAATATGGAGTTGTATTTTCTGTTTATTTTTGTCAAATTTTACTTGATAAATTGCAGTCGCTATAATTTTCCACTTTACATTATTAAAAAAAAAAAGGTTTCATTTTTCATTTTTTGAAAAGACCCAAGGTGGTAAGAATATGTCATGTAACCACTTTTCCCTGTGTTTTTGATATGTCAGAGAACCACACTTAGTCCAGTAGTCTTTCTCCTTTACATTATGACTTGCCTCTTGGATGTAAAAATGTCTATTCTTTGCTATGCTGCACATTAATCTATTAGTCTGAGTCAAGAGTTGATTTGATGAACTGTGCACTGTCTACAGAATTAAGTGTTACTTTTAATGTAGAAAACAAAGAAACAAAAATCTGAATGAAGAGCATTTACCAAGATAACCTTTGCTAGAAAATTTCTTTTTATAGTTGGATCAGGGCACATCTTCCACATTTATACATATCTGCAGTTACACTTTAAACAGTTTCCTGTTCTCTGTCATCGTCTGCCATTACATATCTTACTGAAGCAGTTGATAAGCTGTACAGTTAAGCGTTTACGATTTTGAAATCCACTCCTTGGACCCAGAATAGGTGTAGCTCTATCCCATTCAAAATCCTTGACTTACTATTATAGCTGTCTTCATGATTTGTGATTCAGTTTCATGCATTACCTTGTTGTTCTGACTTTGTGAAGGGAATGTTGTCAGTGAGATGAATGACAATGAAATTTTGCTGTACTTTGAAAACACCAGATCTCAGCAAAATGACTAAGCTTTTCTTTTTCAGTTTCATCAAGGTAAGGCTGGCGTTTTTGCAGCAGTTGTATCATTGATACACACATTTTTTTTTTATTCTTATTGTGCTGTTTCATGCATTGATACACACATTTTTTTTTATTCTTATTGTGCTGTTTCGTTCTCTAATCCTTTCACCAGCAATCGTGTGAAACCATTGCTTGGCCGATTCAGTGAGCTTGAGGTGCTGCTGTCTGACATGAACATTAAGCCAAGCAGCATTGATGCTGTTCTGCTGGATGCTGGATGTTCCTCCATGCAGATGGATCAGGCAGAAAGAGGCTTCTCTCTCAGTAAGGATGGGCCCTTGGATATGAGAATGGATGGAGAGAGGTAAGAGATTAGCAGCAAACAGTAGGTCTGCAAGACTGATGGATCTCATTTGATTAACGCTTAATTTGCAAAGCTCAACATAAAAAACAAATACTTCATATAACTAATAATCTTTGACTTTACATCGATATGTCAGTATGGTACTGTCAAGTGCCACTGATTTAAAAACAGTGAATAGTCCAAATGTGCCAAGGCAGCATGGGCTCAACGACTTCACTTTTCTTTTATTTTCACCTCAAATTGAACAAGTGGAAACTGGAAAAAAAACTCTATGTGTATGTTAAAGTTACAGTATGTAACTTAAGGCAGCACTAGCATGAAACTATAAATCAGTCTACTCTGCTCCGCTCAGCACTGTGCGCTCCTATGATCTGCTAGGCTCCACCCCGGATTAAATCAGCCTGACCCAACACTTCAAAACCAGGTGGTGTCCCAGCTCCTACCAACATTCAGACTTGGTTTCTCCTAACCAGTAAGGTGATTTTTACCTAAACCTAACCATGACCACAATCTGTTCAACCACCTTTCTAGCCATACCTTAACCACTGTGGCCACAGATCCAAAAAAAAAAAACTTGTCCTTTGGTAGAAAGAAAGAAAAAGTCACTTTTGGCTTTTCCCGTTTAGGGGTCGCCACAGCGAATTGTCACACTGACGACTCACGTGTTGACATTTGGCACGTGTTTTATGCTGGATGCCCTTCCTGACGCAACCCTGATTCGAACCTGGGCCGCAGCGGCGAGAGCGCTGCACCCTAACCAATAGCCTACCACGGACGGCAGTCCTATAATTCTGTTGCTAATGGTCCTACTGGCTTGGAAAACAAAATTTCTAAGAAGATATAGAATTAATATTTGAATTGTGGCAATGTAGATGCATGACTACAAAAAATAAAGGTAGCATCACTTAAATGTTTTTTTTTTTCATAAAAATGAAACTTTACACTGCAAACCACATTTTTATCATGAACTGTGGAATTTAGAGTAAAACTATTGTTTCAGAATTTAGATTTTGTCCATTTAAAGCATGTTTTTGTCATAAAGTACAGTATAAATATTAAAAGGTAAAATAAATGTTGAAGCAAAGACGAAGCCCTCATTTCTATTACTGGAAAAACTATTGATTATTCAGAAGAGAGCACTGACAAGTTTGTTTTTCATTTGTAACACATCCTGCTCAGGACATGCGTATCTTTGTCATAGTTCTTTAATAACCGAATCTAGAACCCCAGTGCAGGCATATTAAGCAGAGTCATGCATATTAACCAAGCCTAAATGTGTGTGCATTTGTACATATAGGATATCCATATACATGTATTGCAGTTTAATGCTTCTTGAATGCTTTCAGAAATACATATGAATCACTTTACAATGTCTGCACAATGAGCTAAAATATCCTCATTATATGCTGTTGCATAACCTGCATATCTCTTTTCATTCACTCACAATCATACTATTCAGAAATGCCAGCCATAAAGCTTTTCAGCTGTATCTCACAGTTGTAAGGATTTGCCACTGTCAGCAAGGACATGACGTCAAGCAGCTTAATTGGGCTTCTCTTTGTGCGTAGGTACCCCGACATGCCCTGCGCTGCTGACGTTGTGAATACCTTAGATCAACAAGCTCTTGCATCCATCCTCACTGCATATGGGGAAGAAAGACACGCCAGGAAAATAGCTTCAGCCATTGTGGATACACGTCGTGTCAACCCCATCACCCGGACACAGCAGCTGGCCAGCATAGTGGCAGGTAGCTAGACCACTATCCTTAATTCCCCACAGCATTCTGGAGGCTGCAAGGGAAAATAAAACAATAGAGTTATTAAGGCTGTCTCCCAGTGAGACATATTCGTCTCAGAAAATTACGAGGACTGCGATCTCAGTCATCATCCTCTCTCCTGTCTCTGTTTCTGATGCTTTTCTTCCACACCTTCCTTTGAGAGAGGAGAAAATGAGACAAAAACAGCTTAGAGGAGTCTGGAACAGAATGTGGCTAATGCCTTGAAAACAAACACTATCTTATGTACAGTTGCCCTTCTCTCTCCCTCCCTCCACATTGCTTTATTTTTATTTTTCCACTCTTTTCCCACATTTGTCTGCTCACAAATATGTGCACACACCTGACACAAATGCAAACACCCACATATGCTCACACACGACATACTTGTGCATAAAGCCAGTATTGCATTGTTTGTCTTCACTGAATGTGTCTCTTAGCCGTATGCCTCCAGATTTGAGCTGTTCAACAAGTGAGATGTCATTTCAGTAGTTCTTGCACAGAGCAGAATGTGCGTCAGTGCCACTCTGGGAGAACAGGTGTGAGTAAGAGCAGCTGTTTGATCTTTTTTGACGAGCAAAGTGAGTTGCCATCTATGTTTATTTGGAACAATTCAAGAGGACTTCATTTAAGGAATATCCGGATGGGGCTCTGGGACCAATTGTGACACTTCACAAAAGATTGTAGTCACGATAACTTGTCAGTTCACAGAATATTGTAAAATTCGTATAGACTTTAGCTAAAATGTTTCATAAATGTTTTCAATTTGACGATGCAGAATATTGATAAAGATTTCATAAGTTAATATCGGCCAATAGCTGATGTGTAGGTTTGCATATACTGTACATGTCGTGCACATACTCAGTTCTGATTTGTGTGACTTTTGTATGTGGTCTTAAGGTACGGTTACACCAGCCTTTACAGAGAATTATCAGGCAACATCATGACAGGAATCAATAGAATAAATAATTATTTTTAATTAACTATTGTTGGCTGGTGAACAGCCAACCTAGCTAACTTGCTAACTGATAGCTGACCTGCTTGGTGGGTTATTGTGGCCACCTAACACTAGCGTGTCCCAGTTGGACAGCATGTTACCACTTTGGTCAATTACTACAGCAGCTAACCCTCCAAGCAGTTATCCTGCTACGTTACCAAACTTCTGGCACCCCCTGTTTTGTGAGTACTTGTGACTAGATTAAACTGTGCAACTTTCAGGTGTGACAAAGCTCTTACATTTGATAAAACTATGGCTTGATGTAATGCCATTTTATTCTCAACAGCCCAACAGTGTTTTTATTCATTTGTGGCTGAAATTTAAAGTTTCAAGGTTGCAAATACATAATCTAATCTGCTCTTCTACCTCAGAGTCATATCGATGTTTTCGTGTTTTATTCTCTTGTTATGAACAAACTCCTGCATTTTGTTCTGCCAGTAACACAAAACATTCAAACATCGCTGTTGTCCAAATGGTTTACTGGGGAATGTAGTTGTCTTGCCTTTGTTGATGCATACAAACATCAAATCTAGCAACTTAATTTGAGACTCCAAGGTAGAATACAGCAAGAGCTTTGTAACATTGTCTCTGTACTTTGCCTGGTGTAATATATTCACAAAGTTGTGGTTGTTTTTAACTACCTGAATTCTCCTTTATGTAAACATCTTAATTTCTTCTTTTCTCCACGGATCTTTCTGTTGGACCTTTGAAAGATGAATTGGTGAGACAGCACATGGCTTGGTGCGGTCAGACCAGGGCTGTGCAGGCATGGTATTGATTGCAGTGAGTCACACCTTGGGCTGTTTAGTGCAGAAGGAGAGAAATGCAGCATCACTCACTTCTTTATTTATTGTAGTATCTTTTTAGGTCTAAGTAAGTGCCTAATTGTTCTTTTGTTTTCTGTGTGGTCATGTTTATGAGTTGGTCAAGCTAGTCTACACAGACTCTTCACATATGTTAATATAAAGCTAGTTTCAATCAATTCAGTTCACACACATATTGACCATTGTGTGCTTAAGTTTAGATGCATTCTGCACCCTGCTTGTTATTTTCCAAACCGATGCACAAGCCTGTGAGTGCAGTTTTCCTGCCATTCTCTGCATGTCTGCAGTTAATACTACCTGTCTTCTTATTGCACATGCATTTTGATTGGGGGTATGAAAAGTTTTGTATGGAAAATTCCCCATCTCTTAAAGGCAGGTGCAAATAAACACTAATATTTTGGCACTTTTTTGGATGTTTTCTGCTCAGTAAGACTTAACTTGAACTTGGCTTTCAGTGAAGTGAGAGATCATCAGTGGCATTTGGCCGCATTTACCTCAGTTACACATCAGCCATTTCAACACCATCTCCACTCTCCATCTGCCCCTCAGAGTTTTTCATGGATCTTCCACTCAGTCCTGCTGTAGCTCTCTCCACTGGTTGCAGGGGCTTGTATACACACTGATCAGCTATACCATTCAAATTGAATACCATTGATTATCTTGTTACCGTGTCAACTGTCAAGAGGTGGGATATGCATTGTTAGTCATCAAGTCAAGTCAGTTCTTGAAGTTGATGTGATGTAAGCAGGAAAAATGGGCTCGCGTAAGAACTGCTGCAACTTTGACAAGGGCCAGATTTTGATGGCTAGACAACTGGGTTAGTGCACATGATAATGCATGTGGTGAGTGAAGGTCTAAGCCCGTCTGGTTCAATCAGCTCAAAAACCTAATGCTGGCTATGATAAAAAGGTATCAAAACCCACAGTGCATCACAGCTTGCTACATAGCTGCAGACCAGTCATGCTGCCCGTGATGACCCCTGTCCACTCCTGAAGGTGTCTGCTTTGTCTGATCATTCTCAGTCAACCAGCCATTACAATCTCTTTTGTTATTTTCACACCACTGATATTGTTCAGTTTTGGTTCAAACTGTTTTAGAGAGGTGCTGAGTCAGCTGTGATCATTTTCGTGCTTGTGTTGCAGTCGAATTGCATTGTAATGTCCACTGACTTATTATTGCAGCCTAAAGATAACCACAGTCTATTCATCTAGCTTCCAAAGGCTTTTTTTGTTCATTTTTGTGCTGTTTGATTTTACCCCTTTTGTATGCAAATAAAATGATATTAAACATACACTCACTGGCCACTTTATTAGGTACACCTGTACAGTTGTATGCAGTTCATTGCAACTCTTCTGCCTTTACATCTGTTTATGGAGCTCAAAATGTTTGTTTTTTGTGAAATTGTCATAAATGTATAAATTATGTTTATTATTAAGGTCATAGTTAAAAATTGGTGTCTTACTGGACTACATTATATTCAGAGGTGTTCCTAATATTCTGACCCCCTCATTTATGTAGCTGTGGACGACAAAAATATAGAGACAATTTCATGTTGCTTAAGAATGTAGTACTTATCCAGTCTTTACAAGATCCACTCAGTCTGACAATTTCTTTTCTCCAGGATCGTTTCCTGCCGCTGTTGTCTATTCACGTAGAGACAGACTCCATCGACGTGCACATGTGGCCACCAAGACTTTCCAAGCTCTGCGTATCTTTGTGAATGATGAGCTGAAAGAGCTACACGCAGGCCTGTGTGCTGCCCAGGCAGTGCTGAGATCTGGCGGACGTCTCTGCGTAATCACCTTCCATTCATTGGAAGACCGACTGGTCAAACATTTCCTCCAAGGCAAGGATCTGTCTAATCTAGATCAGTACCACTTCAGCCCGAGGAAGCAAGGCACCAGGAAGGAAAAACTGGCAGGTGAAAAAAATGATGGAAGTGTTTATTGGCTTCCTCTACAAAGAAAAGTAGTCACACCAGAAACAGATGATGTAAAAGAGAATCCTCGAGGGCGTTCGGCTAAACTCAGGGCAGTTGTCAGACAATAAATATGCAGGGTTACGTTTTTATTCACTTTTTTAAAGTAAAGTTGTACTCAGATTTTTACAGTTTCTAACTTAAGCCCACCAAAGAGGAGATCTAGAGTTTTATCCAGGTTGAGGTACCCCTGTCTTGCACTGAATAAAACTGGCTGTAATGCTGGTGGGAAGCCTGTGAGGGTTGGTGTTGATTGGTGGCCTCGGGCAAGAGAGAAATGACCAACCCACAGAATATGTCTGCTGGTCAAAGCTTAGATTTTATTCTTCATTGGCAAGAATAACTAGTGTCATGAATGTAGAATATGCCTGCTGTCCTGCCCAGGATGACAGTGGAGTTTACAATGAAAGACTGTTGTGTATAAAAAATGGGATTTTCCAAATTTGGATAAAGCAGGAAACAAACGTAAGAAATGATATACAGTCACAACAGTCCGCAGTTTCCTGGCTTTTGGCATAAATTAATGATCGTGATCGTGAATCATGCCATTACTTTATCTTTCTACAGTATGTAACAAAATAAACTGTATAATCCATGGTCTTCATTCAGTGAATCGACCTGGTTCAAGAGTTACCCAGGCCCTCTGTGTAACTTTTTGCTCATATAATCAAGCATTTTTTCATAGTTTGATACCTGAATTCAGCTCCATTCACTGAATAACGATTGTGAGATGCAGCTCTGAGAGCTATTAAGTGAACCTATGATCTTAGATTGTTTTGCTTCATACACTTTTCCCAAAGGTCAAGAATGGACAGTTTAAGTTATGAATTAAATAAGAACAGTACTAATTAGAAGAAGCTGATTTATTATAATAACACAGTTTACTGAAATAGCAGCAGGCAGCAGTCGGTCTTCCTCTCACTGCTGTAGCAGTGACAAACCTGTCCAAACCCAACTGTAATCACTAGATTTAATACACAGAATTTTATGAAAGCTGGTTAAAGTTTATGGTGTTGCATTAAAAATACAACTGTGGCAAAAGCGTTTTGCTCCCAAATAAAAGTCCCATCTCTGACTGTTTTTATATATGTTGCCTCTGTGTTATTTGACTTTTGGAGGGGTGAAAAGTAACCAGGTACATTTTGTGCTGCTTCGTACTTTGACTTCACTACATTTTAGAGGCAAATATTGTACTTTTTACTCCACTATGTTTATCTGATGACTTTAGTTACAGTATTTTTCAGAATCAGATTGTCTATACCAAATACAATAAAGTCATTTAACTTTATTGATACATGGACATTCACAAAATACACAGCAGTATTTCAGATTATAAGCATGTGAGGTATTTAAAGTGAGCTCCACTTTTAACAGCTGCAGCATTAAAGTGATGTCCACAATAATGCATCAATAATTATAATCCAGTAATATACATTAATGTGAAATGTGCTAGTCTTTTGTTTTTGGTGTTTTAAGTATATTGTGATGTCAATACTTTTGTGCTTACGATTTTAAATGTAGGAGTATTTTTATACTGTGATAGTCTTACTTTTACTAATGAAAACAGTGTGAGTACTTCTTCCACCACTGGTCTTTTGTATTATATAATATACAGAAAGTGACAGTTCACTTTATGATGTGAATCTGAGCTTTTTTTTCCACTTCAGCTTTACATTACAAACACATCTGATTTGATACAGCATTGTAATGACCCTGTATAGTCATGTGTTTAAAACATTTCAATGAGGAAAATGCCGTTTTACCAAATGTTGGACAACATTTTAAACTCATTTCTTCTTAGATTTTCTTGCGCTACTAATGTTTGAAAGGATATTAGGTGGTTACTGGCCCTAAATAACTAAGCATATAAAACAAACAAAAGCGCATTTTCTCGGTGATGTCTGTATTTTCCCTGAACCTCCCCTGATGAGTAACTCAAGTGAAACCTCTACTGTACCATATGAATCAGTAATGCCACTAGATACTGAATGACGGAAGTGTCAGAAGTGGTGCTGAATGAGCTGGGGGGGGGGGGGTTCTTGGGCATTCTCTCACCTTCTGTAAGCAGATGAGGTGTTTTGATCTTTACTATTTCACTTCGACTAATTGTAATTGCTTCATAAAGATTATTAACACTTTTTTCCTTCTGTCTCAGTTTAGTGCACTCTAAATATACCCTCCTTGTTACCTTGGAAACTAAATGGCGCAATAACATTTAACTGTGTCTAAAATTATATGCTGTTTTAATCTAATATGAAATTATGTCATATTGTGAGTTTATGCGTGCTCCTCTTTTGACATCAGTGGATGTCAGATAAAGAAAACAGGCGTTCCTATTGATGCAGTACATATGTCATGACATTTGATTTTATGGATACTTTTTTTCTGTTTTACTGGCATGAAATATTTTCCCAATCACATTATTTATCATGTAGCAGGAGGTGAACATGGGGAAGGAAATGTTACTCGCATCTTCACACTGATGCATGAAGACGTGAGCTTACCAGACCTAAGAATATAAACACATGGGAAAGATTTCCACTTTATTAACTGAACAAATTCTTTATATTTTTTATTTTGTTTTCTGAATGTTTTAACAATTTTTTATGGGGCATTACCAAAATTATACATGTACAGTGTTGTTCAAAATAATAGCTGTACAATGTGACTAACCAGAATAATCTAGGTTTTTAGTATATTTTTTATTTGTTCCATCCCCACTGGTTACTGTTGATCGGACTGTCAAGCTTTCCATTCTCACATGGCATGTAAGCAGTTGACAGTAACTTATCACTCAGTATACTTCATTTCAGACAAAGCTAGAAAAGGCTTTTCATTTCTAGCCGGTAGTCATTATAGGGCTGTCGCGATAACTGCGATATTACAATACAGTGCTACTGACAAGCCAACTGCAAGAGATGGGAAGCAACCGCAATGACCGCTATGCAAGAAGTCCTTTGCACAAGCAGTGCCACATGCATCAAAAAAAGAAAGACCCTAGGAGACCCGATGAGGTCTCAGATTACCTCTGCATCTTTACCTAAGAGAACTCAACCAATAAGCCAAACGTGTGTGTGCTACCTACACGAGGAACCCCTAGACTCAAATGGTCTGTCTGGTGGCATCACAACCAGGATTCCTCTGCTCTCTAAAATTGCCCACAAATACATGAGTATTTGTGCAATGAGCACACCATCAGAGAGAACTTTTAGTGCCACTGGGAACATTGTATCCCCTCTCTGATCCTCTGAAACAGCATAGGGGCAGTTAGAAGACGTCTGTGTGAAGCTAATCTATTTTCAAGAATCCCCCGCAAAGTCCCTCTGTTAAAAAAAAGGCACGTGCAGAAGAGGTTACAATTTGCCAAAGAACACATCAACTGGCCTAAAGAGAAATGGAGGAACATTTTGTGGACTGATGAGAGTAAAATTGTTCTTTTTGGGTCCAAGGGCCACAGACAGTTTGTGAGACGCCCCCCAAACTCTGAATTCAAGCCACAGTACACAGTGAAGACAGTGAAGCATGGTGGTGCAAGCATCATGATATGGGCATGTTTCTCCTACTATGGTGTTGGGCCTATTTATCGCATACCAGGGATCATGGATCAGTTTGCATATGTCAAAATACTTGAAGAGGTCATGTTGCCTTATGCTGAAGAGGACATGCCCTTGAAATGGTTGTTTCAACAAGACAATGACCCCAAACACACTAGTAAACGAGCAAAGTCTTGGTTCCAAACCAACAAAATTAATGTTATGGAGTGGCCAGCCCAATCCCCGGACCTTAATCCAATCGAGAACTTGTGGGGTGATATCAAAAATGCTGTTTCTGAAGCAAAACCAAGAAATGTAAATGAATTGTGGAATGTTGTTAAAGAATCATGGAGTGGAATAACAGCTGAAAGGTGCCACAAGTTGGTTGACTCCATGCCACACAGATGTGAAGCAGTTATAACAAACTGTGGTCATACAACTAAATATTAGTTTAGTGATTCACAGGATTGCTAAATCCTAGAAACAAAAACGTTTGTACAACATAGTTTTGTGTTTGTACAGTCAACGGCAGACACTGCTATTTTTTTGAACACACCCCTTTCAACTAATTGCCCAATTTCACAGCCTTAAGAGCGTGCATATCATGAATGCTGGGTCTTGTTTGCTTTCTGAGAATCTACTGCACCTACTGGTAACTTGTTTGCCATGTAGCAATAAAAAATATACTAAAAACCTGGATTATTCTGGTTAGTCACATTGTACTGCTATTATTTTGAACAATACTGTATACCAGACTCATGTTGATGTGTTTTAATACAGGCTTATACTCGCTACACATACTATTTACACTGATGTCTATGTTTTAGATTTTATAAAAATCTATTGTAAATAATGTGTTAAGTAATTTCGTCATTTGTATTTATTTATTTAGCTTTGATTTAACCAGGGAAACCTCACTGAGATTACGAATCTCTTTTTCCAGAGTGATGTCCTCATAATTGTTAAATGTTAATTATAGTACTGTTTCAGTGAGTCAAACAGAGGACAAGTGTTTACAGTGCAGTGCGTGGGGTGTAGTCATGTGCTTTGTTTCAAAATCAATAGTACTGTACTCCAAGGTGAACGCCACTGATTTTGCAGATCAAAGTAAAGATCTTGGAATACTACTGAATATATGAAAATAAGTGCTAAAACACTTGTGGCTACAGAGGGAGTTGTGTGGAGTGTTGCTTTGGGTCCAAAGACTTCCAACCTGAAGGTTTAAAAAGAAAAATCTGGACATATGGAGTTAGGCTGCGTTTGATGTACATCAAACTTGAACAAGTATGATAGAACAACTGTTGAATTCAAAACTCTTAACTGGGACACTGACTTCAGCGGATGCTCTGACATCACTCAAAATGTTTATAGGAATTATTTATATTAGTGCTATATTAATAAATTACCTTTGAATTTGCTATTGTGAAAATTCTTAAATTGATGCAAATTATTATGACTCCTCCATTGTTGATCCTCCTCTGTTTTATTGGTGTATTTAAGCTCTGTTGAAAATACTCATATGCTGCCTGCCATGTGACTAGAAAACAGGTTTTTTGCAGTTTAATTTGCAGATTGCATATATTTATATACAATTTTCAGTATATACATATATTAAGTGTATTTTGAAGAAACATTTATTTAAATAGTGTCTCAGGTATACCTCTGAAAAGCATCATGTCCAATATTTTAAGACTTTGTTGAGACAAAGCTGTTTTATCTAATAACAAGAGACAGGCTCAATTGTAGCAGTGTAACCACCATCGGACTACTGTAGCAAAATGCACTCTGTAAAATTGTCTTGTAGATTATTTATGTAAAATTCAGCTTTGTCTGAAATTCTGTGTGTTCCCAGTATAGAAAATAACTATTTGTTGCTCGGTGCAGGAGAAGACGATCAGATGGGAACATCAGTGATTATAAATTATTGTTATCTATGACTGCAAATTCTCAATCTCCATGGAAACAGTAACCTCAGAATACAGTAAATATACTGTAAGACTGTGCTATTATTGTAGACTTGGATCAATCCATAAATTGGCTACTACGTAACTAATAGCTACTGTTGTTCACGTCTCTGAAGCTGCAAACAGATACACTGACACTCATCTGGACTGCTGCTGACATCTGTAGACACTGGATCAACATTTTCACTTGACACAGCAGCAAGCACACAAAACCAACGTTTATGTCACTGTTAGGCTTCTTTGTATTATTTTATTACACAACGAGGATGCCTTAATTTGCTTTTTAATTCTAGGTAGCTGCATTACACATGAGTAAAATCAAGTAGCCTTCACATTTTGTTACCCTGATCCTAAAACTGCTCCTATCCTGGATGATAAATGTTCCAAAAATCATGCCTCAGTGTCAGATTTTGTTGTTTTCATTTGATCAGTTTTCTGATTTGATTTTGTTTTTGTTTTTTTTATGGTTACATTTGATTTTTAGAGTAAAATTTTCTTCTTGCGGAAAAATACTGTTTGGCCACTATTGGAAAATTTTCAGTGTCTTCATATGAGGAAAAAAATGAAGCAATACCTACTAGAAGACT